GTGAGGAGTGGCTTCTTGGCTGTGATGCGTGAGTGTGAAACCAAAGGGTGGAGAGCATGAGCCACCAAGAGAGTCAGGAAAAGAGCCGCGCCGCTGGCAAAGGGAGGAACAACCTCTGGCCAAGCCCTGAGGCAGGACATGGTCAGCCCGCCGTGGCAGGGAAGGCCTAGGGGGCACCAGGACAAGTGTCTTGACCTTACCTGCCTACTCACTGACTGAGCTGAGCTGTATTGCTGGCATGGTTCGGGTCACAATTACTAGAATGATTATTTTGTCAGATAATTGATAACTGCAGTGAGAACTTTATCCAGTCTTTCTATAACTTTTCTTGTGGACCTGTGCTCTGAAGACCCATGCTGTTTGTACCTCAGGCCCTGAAAAAGCTCCATTTTTTTCAGCTTAGAACTTCCTCATCCCTCTTCCTGCTGGCGTAAGTTCTGATACCTTTTCAACCTTAGTTACACTGCGTTTTCTGGCAAGCTGGCTCTGGTTGTCTCCAGTTGAACTTCAGTGGCCTGCCAGAGCTCTTTTTTTTTTTAAAAAAAAAAAAAAGAAAGAAAGAAAAAAAACCAGCTCAGCCCACCCTGGCTTTGGCTGGCATGGCATGTGGTGCTGGGGATCGGACTGTGGTCCCCTGCACCTGCCTAAGTTTGCCTAAGCAGGCACTTTAGACCGCTAAACTACCTCATCGGCCCTACCCTTCTCGTTTGTATCAAGTGCACTGTGATACAATCTCATGTTTAAGAACTCTCCTCCCTGTGATTAAGTCAGTTGCCATAAAGTGAAGGGCTGTGTCTATCTTATTCCTAGCAGGATCTCCAGGGTTGGATCGAGCAGGTCATTTTATGCATTTAGTGCATAAACATACCTGTAGGTAGGCAGAGAGCCAGATGGATGGATGGAAAGAATCATGTATGCTAGAGAAACCTGCTTCTAACCAAGTGCATTACATGGCAAGGTTTAGTAAGAGAACCTTACACTATTGATGAAATATAGTGTTGTAAAACTCTTCTATGCTGAAAATTTCATCAAGAAAAGTCCCCAAGGGTGAATATGTTATGAAAATTTTAGAACTTTAAAATGGAAAGCAACCCTTTTCATCATTTAGTTAAATGTCATTTAACAAAAAAAAGGGATGATCTGGACCAAAGAGATGAAGTAAATTGCCAAAGTCACCCTGTTCCTTATAGTCAGGGCTGGAACTGGTAAGCCTGGTGTTCAGATTACCACAGATCACGCCCGGTACGGTCTACCTCCAGGACCCCAGGAAGCGTTCTAACGAAAGCAATGCAGATAGATCATGCTGGGCAGAGTCGCTACTATGCCATCTTTTTGGAGTTGGGGGTTTTTAAATGCAATGCATTTTGTGGGAAAGAAATCACCTTATTTGATGGCTTCTACATTCTCAGGCATCTCAATATTTTAAAATAATTTTATTTTCTGGCTGAGACACACAATGCTTGATCTGCTTTGTTTTTCTATCCATGGAGTCATAAAGTAGCAAGTCTGAATCAAAAAATAATCACTAAACATCTGAAAGTGAGCAACAAATTATTCCCAGAACACTTAGTTCCTTCCTCTAAATACACACTCCAAACCTAAGACTGTATTCCATAAGAATGCTTGAGTCTCTCCCTAAATCATAACATGGGTAAACTTACTGAAATATTTTTGCAATTTTATTAGAGGTTTTAATTCACTGTTTTATCTATCTCTGTTAGACTGCAAAATAGCTTTAAATATTCAAGTGGTAATTAATGAATCTTTTATGTTGCAAATCAAACATTTTCATCTGTGTGCTGATAGAGTAGCAATGAGGAAGGATTGAAGGAGTAATTGTTCCTATTTCACCCTTGACCAGCGTGCTGCCTTGCATCTGGGGAGTGGGTTTGTGCTCCTTCCACAGTGGGCTAATAATGCTCAGCGCGGATGGCGTTTCTGTCTTTCTGGAGGTCAGGATTTCTTGACATGTTTCTTACCAGAGACATTCCTGACTAGATGGAAAGTCTTTGAATGTGGAATTTTTGCTTGAGTGCAAAATAATAAAAAGCATGTGTATGTTAAGAAAGGATCAGCCTAATGGCAATGAGCATTGGCTTACATTAATATTCTATTACAGTAAAAACTTCTATTTAATAATTTTCTCCAGGCTTTTCCCCCTCAGAATTTCACATATTTTTCTAACTGGCATGCCAACCTAAAGAAAGTCTATATGATACATTTGATTTATGTTAAGTCAACAGTGTGCACAAGCCATTTAAAATTGCATTTTGAGTATAGAAATGGCAACCTAAAGAAACACATATAGTATCATAATTTGAGAAGGACAAAACGTGTTAGCATTTCAGGGGCTGAAGTACCTTGCAAATATTATTCCATTTAGAAGATATTTTTAAGATGTGGTGTTGCATGTTCACTGGTAGAAAAGCGAGTCTAAAATCCTGCAATTTAGTGTAAAATCCCAAATTAAGCTGGTGCTGAAGACTTCACAGAACAAAGTAAGTTTCTTTCCTCTGTCATTCTGGAGAAAGGAGCTGGTGAGCGCTGCCTGAGAAATGATCACAAATGGTCTGACAGATTCTTGATAGGAAGCCCCATGAAGCACCCTTGTTGTTCTATGGCACTGATTAATACTGGTCTGGTGACACTTATGTATCAGAGCAATAAGCTAAACAGGAAGCAATTTATGTCACCTAAAGCTTTTTAACAAATCGATGCGACTATTTGTAATTACTTGTTTCACAAGATTAAAAGTGCTCAGGCCTGATCTTCGCCCACGGATTTGTGGTCAACCTGACCTGTGCTTCCGTTGTTTGAAAAAAAAAGAGAGGGAGAGAGAGTTGGTGATCAGCACGGACTTCCATCAAGTAATCCATATTGCTAATATTTCTGGAATTTTAATGTAGTTACAATTTATAGCCGATCCAATGTGGTTACCTAAATTGCTGTTGCTGGTAGACAGTTTAACTGTCTTTATTAATTACGGTATAATTTAATGTTTGAGTACCAGCACTTGTATTGGTCATTTTTACAGCTCGAGCAGTTATCTGCCTTATGACGAACCATTTTAGCATTTTCAATGGAAATTTGCTAATATGATGAGTGATAAAAATGTCACATGCTGGTAAATAATGATTATTGCTTTGGCTTAAATGAATTCTTGAAAGGCCGGTTACCTTCAAATTAACATTATAACATGAAGCTTCTCTGTTTCCCTGCCTATATTCTTGGTATAAGTGCATCCCACCAAATACTACAAATAACTTTTGATGAACGGATATAATATAATCTTAATGCTAATATACATGATTTTACAGAGTAGAAATAAGATGAAAATAGGGCTGTTTCTTCAAAAAATAGTTTAAAAATAAATATAAGGTTATATTAGAGTGATGACTTTTCTAATCCAAATATTGTTCCACAGTTAAACCAGTGTTTTGTATCTAATTTCCCTCCAATGTGAATTATAGCATAAACCTTTCATCTGTCAATGCCTTAAATGAAAGTTTGAGGCCCAACTTTATTAGAATGAATGCTTTTACTTGACTCAACTACAATGAAGATAAAAGTTAAATTGTAAGTACTATGCTCTCTATAAATACGTAACATCATCAGAGAACAGAATATAGCAAGAAGGGTTATCTGTTGGGGGAAGGTAAAAGCGAGTGTGCCAAATTACTTGTAAGGCCCCCATTTAAAAGAAGAACCATTATTTTGGGCTGGCTTTGTATTTCTGAAGGAAAACCCTGAAATAAATAATGTAACTGTGCTCCTGTTTTAGAGTAACTCCTTGAATACAATTAAAAATGATCTGTGCATCAGGCAGCAAGATCTTCACTTACACAAGCTCTTTAGTTTATTAAAATACACGTATATATCCACTTTAACCAACTGCATACGATGTGGTAACCAGTATTTATGCCGAAGGCTTGCAATTAAGGACATTTCCATGAACTCTGGGATGGTATTTTTGGTGGCCAGGTGAGAATGAAATAGTTTGCGTATTATCAGACTGAGGGTTTCTAGATAGTGGCCAATGAAAAGAGAATCCTCCTTTGCCACTTAACAGGCAAAATCTACTTTGAAAAAGGAAATGGAAAACTTTCATAGGGTTTTTTCCAAACAGTGCTGGCAAACCACTTCCACTACTCCCCGGCAGCAATGGGAATCTCACTGAATAGACTGCAAGCATCTCCTGGCTCACACGAGGTGCTTGCAATTACACACGTGCAACAGTTTTGATGTTAACATGGGTTTGGCTGCGTAAAGCACTGCTTTCAGTACACCAGCAGTTTTATTTGTGCTGAAAAATGATACTCTAATTCATTAATCCTTAAAATACATATGATAAACTACTAAAGAAATATCAATGTATTGCTGAAGCTATGATATTAAAAAAAACAAAAACACCTCAACCATGATGGTTTGCCTGGGATATTCAGGCAACAGAATTTGATGTTTTTTTCCAGTGGATGTAGTTGTCTACAGACTTTTGATAGAATATTTTTATAAAATCATTTGTTCTAATCTAAGCATTTATCATTATATGCAAAAAGATTTCTTGATGAGATTATAGACGGTGCATGTTTTTGACATTAGCATTTTATTTGGATGACTAATCTTGCAGATGTGAAATTTTAATGAATTATTCATGAAATTGCTTCCCTCTGAAATTTTAGTTTGCTCTTAATGCAAGTTATTAAACATTTTGTTTTTCTTTATACAATTTGATGAAGAGAAATAAGAGTGTGCTGCTTCAAGTGAACAGAAAGCCCCCCTTTCCCTCTTTTCTTCCCAGTTCTCTAAGTGGATACCTTTACTTGGAAATCTTATCCTGAGGAGGATAAAAGCTTTAGCCTTCCCTGATGAGGAAAGCTTTTACTTACGATTGATTTTAATTCTGTTTCAGAAGCAGCTGGTGATAAACCTAAGGTTTATGCCTAACATACAGTATCAGTAGGTCAGAGGGGGGAAAAAACTTAGGCTGTGGCGACTTTGACTACCAGTGTGAACAACCAGCATTTTTATTGCATTTGAGAATGCTATAATGTCAGTAATTACTACTGACTACACCACATTTTTTTTATTGTCTGTATCCACAGACATGGAATGATGGAATTACAGTTGATGTCAAGGAATGAGTTTCTTTTATGCCTTAACAAAACAAAACAAAACAAAACAAAAAAACCCCCAAAACAGTTCTTGTTATTGGCAGCACATATACACGAAGCACCATGCTGACGGTCCAGACTTCGCCATCTCCATCAAGGTTTAGGGGGAACAGAGATTGCATGGGCTATGCTGGGCCCATGAAACGCCTTTAGGATTATAAATCTCATTCTCAGAACACAGGTGCCAAAATGGGTTGAAAAACATCTGACGTATCAGAAGGGTTTGCTATTAACCAGACGGTACCCAAAAGATTCAAAATCCTTGTAAGTAGATTCAGCTTTGTACCCTTGGAAACAGAACTTGGCTGGACTGTGGGAAGGAAGGAAATGAAATATTTTGTAATTTCAAATTTTTTGGTGTTTAAAAAGCTAGCAATTTACACTATATTTTAGATGAGAATGCAAGGTTTTCTTTACCAGGTCTGATGGAATGCAGGATGCTAGGTATACATTAGAGCTGTTTGGGGGGCAGGACTGGCGGTCACTCTTCAAGGAAGCCTTGATAGTTCTCTGCATTGCTAATGTGGTAGCCTGACTGGTTTTCTATAGACAGATTTTTAGGGACAAGCAGGATGGATCCTCATTCCTGACAGTGCATTAGTCTCATACAGGGGACTTTCTCCTTAACATACACTTTTCTCTGAGGACAAAAAAAGTAACATTGTCTTTACATCTTGGCACCTTGCAAGTTTTTTTTTTATACAAATGTTCAATATTTTCAACACTCCCCATTATTAACCACTACTTCACTGATAAACTTTGAAAGTGTGATCCTGAAATTTCATCATGCAAAATATTTACTGCAGCAGAAGAAAACATTTTTTTAACATTTTTTTCTCTTTTCAGATGTATGAACTTGTTTAAAGATAGCCAGGAAGGCAGTGGTAGGATAAACACAAGGGATAGGAATGTATAAAAAAAGACAGATTAGACACATACCCACTCACACGTGCGCACGCACACACAAACCTGTACAAAATGCTCCAATGAGAACAGGACAAAAAAAATCTGTCAACTATGTTACAATTTAAAAGAAAAAAAAGTTAGGGAGTTTCTCCCTCCACATGTCAGGAAATGTCATCCAATATTCTTAAAGCAAGAATAACTAAATAAAATACATGTGCAGCATATTCTGCAATTCCATTACATACAGTAGTTTTTTTCCAAAGATATCTTTTAGTATTGTTAATATAAAGCAGTTGCACAAAAAGCAAAGGTGTTTTGACAAACAGGTGTATGCATTTATTCCTTTTTAGGAACAATATCTAAAAAAAGAACCGCCCTCTGCCCACCCCCAAAAAAGACAAAGATTCACACAGACACATTGGGATATATGTACAACATAATAAACCCCATCCTAAAGAAGCAACTTGAATACCCCCAAGGGATACAGAATCAGAATTGTAAAAATCATAGTGAAGTTTTCTTGCTGTAAAGCCTGAGAATTTTTTTTTTTTTCAGTTGGTTCTTCTGCAGGACTGTGATGCCTGCAAAGATGTGTAAAATCTAATTTTCTTTTTTCTTTTTTTTTTTTTTTTTTTTGCTACAGTCTTTAGACTAAGCATGCAAGACATACGACTAAGTGCAACTGAGTGAAATGTATTTTTTTAAAAAATTTTAATCATTCCCTAAAGGTTGAACTGAGGTATGCGTACTAACAGTTTCTCATGCTGTTATCTTTACTCATGTCTAGCTACACATGCTGAGAATGAACTAATCTACCAGATTTTTATCCTCTTTTGAATACCAAACTAACCAGCAACCACTCGGTTTAGAAGCACAGGGCCCCCTTCCCATGACCCTGTCTGGCTACTGCCTGCATGTCATGAAGCTGCGCGTGACCACAGACTGCCCTGGATACAGAAAGCAGAGTGAAGCTTCAAAAGCAACTGCAAGACGTTTTTGTACCAAGCTTATGAGTGAACGGGAGCGTTACTTTTTCTTTCTCTCTCTCTCTCTCTCTCTCTCTCTCTCTCTCTCTCTCTAGCTAAAAATGCTGACAAAAGCCTAATCTGAAAACAAAACAAAAAACAAAAAAATGACGAAAAAAAAAAACAAACCCAAACTGCAGGACATATGCCAAGATAAGCCAAAATTAATACAGTGATCATAACAGTCCTTAAACTAAAGTGGCATACAACCATTCTAAAGTTTTCTTTTTTTTTTTTTCCTTCTAGAAACACTATTAAGTGGTTTAGTTCAATCATAAAAGTTTTTCTGTTCTTTCCCAATTTCATCTTTACTGTCTCCTCTATTTCTATTGTATTAAGAATTTTCAGTGGCATACATTCTTTTTTTCCCCTCTTTTTCTCTTCTCCATTCCTTCTGTGCAAGTATAATACTGTGTCCTATTTCCATATTCAGTAGTCCCACAGTTTCTTTCTTTATAAGACTGAGTTTTGGTCTCTGAAGAGGTACAGAAAGAAGAAGAAACAGCTACTAGAAAAAGTAACAACTTTGGTTCCATTACCTACTTGGTCTTCTGAATTTACTCTAGGATGAAGAAGCAGTTCTCTTTCTCAGGTTAGCAATAGCCTACAGCTCATCATTTGCCTCTAAATTCTTTCGCCTCCTTTGATCAACAATAAGAGGATATTTGGCTTCATCAGATAAAGCATAAAACAGAGAACATAATTTACCTTTGTGTAATATCTTTGGTAATTTTAGAAATAAAAGGTACAAAGAATATAAATTAAGCTCCAAAAGGCTCTCAAACTAAAACAAAAGCTACAGTCCTAGATAAATAAATGTCAGGGTAGTGGGCGTGGAGTGGAAGCGTGGACGGGTGGGAAGGGCTGAGTTGTACTGACCCAGAACCTTCACATTCTGCAGGCCCTGTGAGGCTCCCCAGAAGCCCGGGGCCCACAGGACCCTGTCTCCCTGATGCCCTCTGTTACTTTCTGATACTGGGGTGGTGTGAAAATATTGCCCAACAGACTGAACTGCAGTACTGAATTTGCACATCTGGGGCGAACATTTTAGCACTGCTCAACTCAGTCCTCATTAACTCCCAGAACAAGTTCAATCTGAAGTTTAATTTGAATTCAAACAGATTAATGCCACCAGGCAGGTCTGAACTGATGGATCAACTCAGTGCTGTCACTACTATCAGCCCAGTTACTTGGTGAAGCTGGCTTTTGGTAATTCTGAAAACAAAGCAACCTTCACTGGTCACCTACTGTGCTACAACGCAGAATGTGTGGCCCTCCCCAGAGGCTGCAGGAGGGAGTGCCTTCTGCGGGACTGACAGCAGCCTGGTTATTAGGGGCTTTGGATTCCTTCCCTCTGGTGAGGTCCATGTTTCCTTGTGCTGGCAGAATGCTGTGGCATTTCTTTTGAATGATAATTACTACAAAAAAAGAAAGAAAAAACAGAAAACCTGAAAATTCTCTTGCCACCCCCAATACTGCTTTGCGGAATGAGTCTGCATTGTTCCTAGTGTGTGTCTCTCATTTTTTTTTTTTTTTTTTTCTGTCATTCATTCTCTTTCTGGAAGGACGTCACGCTTGTGTGAGAGGACTTTCATGTGTAGAGAGAGTGCAGCATTTGGGACCTTTTAGAAAAAGACCAAAACGGAATGTTTTCTGACTTTAGAGAAAGGTGGTGATGTCTGAAGGAGAATGGAATGAGTGACAGAAAACTACGAACGAGAAATGACATTCAGCTTTGTATAATAAAAACACCTATTAACATTCATCACAAAGTACAGAAAACGTTAAGCCTCCAAGAGGCCGTGGGCCCAAGTGGAGGCCTGAGGTCAGAACTTAAAATGGTATAGTAGAAGCAAAAACAAAAACAAAAAGCAATACATTAAAAAGTTTGGGATAATTATTTTTGCCCCTCCCCCCAACACACACACAAAGGCCTTCCCCATCCCAACTGGAAGCAAAAAAAAAAACAAAAACAAAAAAAAAACAAAAACAAAAAAAGGAAGGAGTCAAGGCAGTGATAATCAACATGCAGTTCTGTGCAAATAGGTCGTCCATTGGAACCCTAACTGGGCGAAGGCTTGGTCTGCAGCTTAGGGGCACAAGCTCGGTCGGGTGTCCTCGGAGTCCCACGTCGGCAGGACTGCAGTTCAAAGTCTGCTGCTAGAAGTAAACCAGTTTAGCAAATTTACAACACTGATGTTGACTGTTACGAGAGGAAAATCCCAAGTACCAAACAAGTCCATCCAATGCACAGAGTACAAATTCCTTTTTTCAACAAAAAGTAGAAAAATCAAAAATACTCCCAAAAGGGATTCTTGATGGCACTAAGAGTTAACACATTTCAGAGTTGTCAAAATGTAGTGAAAATCCTCCAGACTGTACAACAAATGGAGAACAATTTCACTGCTGACTTTTTGACGTGTTTTGTTTTGCCTTTTCCCCCCAATCTTCCTTCTTGGGGTCAGCCCGCCCAGATGTTCACTCTATGTCCTCGTTTACTGCTTCATCCTCATAATCTCTGTCATGGTCAAAATCTGGACTGTGGTTGGCTGTGGTCACTAAGGACAGAGGCCCTTCAGCTTCTTCTGGGTCGAGGGGCTCTTCTTTGACATGTACAGGATGCCTGGAGAGACAAACAGAGGTTCAATGAGGCCATTTCCCAGAACAATGGAATCCTGGTGTTTGAGGCAACCTGAAAGTCAACTGTATAGCTGTCCAGTACAAGAGCCCCTTGTGTGTACATCTTCTTAGTTGCACTAGCCACATTTCCAGTGGCCAGAGGCTTCCATACTGGCACCCAGAGACAGCAGTTTGGATGAACGCACAAAGATCTTATGCACAGGGCTAGAGTGCATGATCTTTGGCAGAGGCTGGCTTTCCTCCCCAGAAGCATTTCTTCTGTTTTACAGTGTGCCACATCACCCAAGGAACTCATTAAAATGCAGAATGGGAAGCAAAAGGCTTTAGGGTTAGGCCTGAGACTCTGCATTTCTCATGAGCAATCCAGTGCTGCTGCTGGTCCTCAGCCCACACACTTTGAACACCAGATTTTTAACATGCCCCTTCGTGGCTTCCTAGGTGAATGAACAGCAATCTTCAAATAATTATGTGAAATGAGAATCTGTAATATAACAGTGGTTTGTGGGGACCACTGAGCGCAGAGCCTGGGCTAATCGTGGCTTGCTGTGTGTTCTGCTTTGCTAGTTAACATGCAGAACCTGTGAAAGAACTCTCCAGAGGACGACCCCAAGTGAGGTTCTATCATTAATCAACTTCAAGCAAACACAGCAAAGAGACACCATGATACATGCTTGAAACTCCAAATTAATGCATATTTTTACAAACTGTCAATAAGGCAAGAAAAGCCCTGCCAGGAAACACAAACGCAGAGGAAAAGGCTCGCTCAACACAACAATATGATAAGAAAGCACAGCCCCAATCAGAATAATAACACTGTCAGCTGTAAACAAGGCAAAACATGAGGCCGGGCTGGTAGCGGCCACAGGACGCACGGATACGCAGAGATCTGCCAACTTTCTCATTATGGATCAGCGCTTGGTTCACAGGGATGGGGGTGATGGGACAAAACCACTCTGATAACAACTGAGAAATGCTGTTCGTAAATCATAGTTACAACTGATCCTTTGCAAATACAAATTACTTTCTGTTGCAGGGGTTTTGATATGCAAAAGAACCATTCAAGTTAAAATGCTCCCATCTCTGGAATGGGCTGCAGAAAAGAAGAGTTTTTAATTGACACTATCAAGTATTAGTAATAAGAAGAGATCCTGGGGATGGTTGGCTGCCTAAATAATTGATACTGTCTGCAAACCCCAAAGGCCCCTTGAACCACTTAAAAACAAACAGGAGTGCTTTGGACTGCCCTTGAAGATGTGAACCTTCAGAATCAATTGACTCTAAAATTAGTGCAGTGTAGAGTGTTTCAGGAGCTACAAGTCAGATAAACAGCTTTAAAAAAAAAATAGTGCCCGTATTCTGAAAAACCATTTGCAAAAACCCAAACAGTGCAAAGTTGTTTGATAGTATATTTTTTTACATGTGGCTCTCCATCTATTTTTAACAGTCTTACTTATCTGTGTTTCTGCAATCAGATCCAGACTGCTCTATGATCTGGGAAGCCCAGTGCAGAACAAAAATGCAGGGTCCTGGAGCAGCGAGGGATCTCGAGAATGAACAGAACACTGTAAGACAGGTGCCATGGGACTGTGAAATCACACACCTGTGTTGTTCGACCAAATGAGGGTCCCTGACAATCCTCTTCTATGACCAAATAGATACAGGCTGTTATTCCTTTAAAAAAATCACTAATAAACTGCTAGTTAAGGTATTTACTTCTATCTGTCTTCCTACTGCAAGTCATACTTCATGTGTTACAGGCGCTGTTGGTATATTTATTTCATCAGTTTAGCTGTAACTTTTATGGCCATCTGAGTGTCATCTTGTTAATGTATGTCAGTTCCCAACTATTCAGGCTGCTGGGTTCATCTTTTGTCCACTTTGTTTCACTGATTTGCGTAGCACACTTAACCATTTTTATCCATTAATTGTTCTACTTTGTTGATTTACCACTTTAGATAAATTTCTAAGGGAAGAACTGTTGGAGAAGCAAAGGTTAAAACATCTTTATGGTTCTTCTGATTTACTGTGATATTAATTTCCAAAGGGGCTGTATCAATTGAAAATCTCATCAGTTCTCAGTATTATTATTATTTTTTAATTTGTTATTTAGCATGTCTGGATTATTTGCAGGTTACTTTAAACCGTGTTTCTTAGATTACTAACGTGGACCATTTTAAGTTTCACTTCATAGTTTCGCTGTAGAGAATTATTACCTCATACAATGGTTTTCCTAGCTCCACTGACTGTGTGACTGTTTTAGTAATGTCCACTGGATTGGACTCCTGGTTTTATTTAGCCATGTACTGAAGCTCAAACATTAGTTTTAAGATTAACATTTTTTCTACTTTTATTAAAGAAAACTATCAGCTTACTAATCTTTTTTAGGCTTATAAACTAGAATCTGATCATATAAGGTAAGATAAAGCTTTGGGTGGCAGTAAAGATGGGATTCCTTAAAACAAAATAGAACAGTCTGAATGAAATTCTGGCTTTATAATTGTAGACTGTGACAGATGTTTTGTTAAGCTGGGCATAGCAACAGCAAAAAAGAACCAGATATTTGGAAAGTCTCTACAAAAGAGAATTCACAGTAACAGAATATTTTGTTTTCCTCAAAATTCATTGAGCATTTACAAACCTAAAGACAGGTCATGACCCTATCAGACTAGCTTGTTGTGTCTAAATGCTTGATATGGGATAGGACTATGATAAATATTAAGAGCTAGAACCACGGTGTGACAACCAGGTTAGACAGCCAGGTCTTGAAGACTCCCAAAATCCAATCTCTGCACATTTCTTGGATTGAGCAGATAACCCACTGGTGAGACATGCTGTAAGGTATACAGTGCCTTCAGAAATTAAACAATGGATTCTCACGTGAAAATGCAAACTATTTAAGACACATTATCTCTTATATACTCAGCGTCTCTCCTAGAAACTAGAGCTTAAGTTGCACATTTTACCACAAGGAAGCCTTCAGGCCCCTGCCCCACCACCCTTTCTCTCCCAACACCTACTTCCAAAAGGGCTACCGATGAATAACTGCAAAACCACACATTCCCCTTCCCCTTACATCTGAGTAATTCCTTTGTTTAGAGGCTCTGGGAACACAAGAGTTTTTAAATAAAGCTGACTGGTGTTTAAATGCATTGTGTTCTAGAGTTGCATGACAGCATGCAGTATTTTGTTCTGCAGCTCCTGTAGCTCCTATGAGGATAAAAATGTAATCCCCCAGAGCCAGAACTGTGTGACTACTTTCTAGTACTGGAAAACAGAAACATATAGAAAAGGTAAAAATCAAAAGTTCTATTTCAAAACTAGAATTAGCCAGGCTGCCATGTTAATAAGCTTTGGCGTGAAGTTTATGATTTGATTTATTCCAATAGAGTGGAACAGTTAAAAAACAATTTGCATCAGAGCAGGGTAATGCATACAGGACAAGAAGGAAAACTACATCATTACAGAATTCACCTAATGGAAGTTTAGGGCCCAAAAGAACCACCTTTGAGGACACTGATCGCAGCATGGGGATCTGCTGTCTACAGAGCTACGCTTAGCAGACAGTGTGATCCTGCGATTGGAGCGATGCATTCAGACATCTGTGTATAGGGTTTCTTTCCCTTCTAAGGAAAACAATGAGCTGAAAATTGTTTCATTTAAAATTGTCATGACTTCTTTAGGAGGATTATTTTGTAACACTGGGGTTAATTTAAAGTTGTTGAACAAGTTAACTCATGGTTTACTTTATTGTGTCCAGTAAAATTAGCATGATTCTCAAGAGTTCTCTGTGAAACTTCTATCCAAATATCATTTTTTTTTCTTTCTAGTGATCTTCTGTACTAACAGGAGAAATAGTATCTCTTTCATTCAGTAACTCCAGATGTTTATTTGCTCTAATGAATATGTCTTCAAGTAGCTCATATGCCAATTTACATTTTCTCTGAACTTCATTACTACGTAAGCAAACACTCCTGCCACAAGCATGATTTAAAGATGAATACAAGTGGGAACATAACAATAAAGTCGGAAACACTTTACAAAGGACGAAATATAGCAGTGATTCTGTGAAAGATAAACACTTTCTTAAAATGTTATGAAGTAAATATTAAATATTGAGAGATTTGTTCATATAAATTAAAAACTATTATTTCCATCTTTACAGGTCCCCTTCAAAGCACTCTGGGCATGAAATGCAAATGCTTGAAAATCAAATTTCAGATTCCCCCATACCCTCCAATTATACTGGCAGATAACATTTTTTCTTTGTCATTAGATGCCAATTCATTCTGTTCCTAATTGCTACAGGTCATATTTTCCATTCCTATCACTCAAATTATCTTAAAATAAGATGTTGGTCAGTAATTCAGAACCTGTAGACAGTGGCCTATTTCAGAGCTGACAGCATTGCAAACAATGAATTGGTTTATTCACTTAAAGTGCGCCACAGTTTTGCAAAAATTCACTAAAAGGGAGACAGTCATTCCACAGCATCGCCTATAAATCCAATCATTTGGAATAATGTGGTTTCCTTTCTCTGCTTTCAAAATGTGCATGGGAGAGAAGGGGGTTATTATAGCAGTACCAAATCTCTCCTGTGACCCACCCAAAAGGGTGTCATAGCCTGATGGCATTCACATGCAGCGTGGGCCACCATCAGCCATCACTTCATGCAGTTATATGTGCGCTCATTACGCTGCCGTCTGCTACTATGATGCTCCTATTAATTTTCCTTTTGATATTTTAAGAGCAATCTATAAATCATGCTGCCTTTCATTTGTGCCATCATTAATGCTTGGTAATGACGCTGCGCCAGCGCACTTGCGCTGCTATACTTGGCACACAACCATATACACAAGCAGCTTTTTCTTTCTCTAGGTTCGGCACGCCAAAACACTGAACCAACTGTAAGCTTTTCTAGATATGCTTACTAAATTTTGGAGAGAATTATAGTGAGGTTTACGTAATGGCCTGAGATATAAAGCAGAGAAGAGAAAGCAGATGCATTTTCCATTTTACTGCTGTGGGTACCTGTATGTTAGATGAAACTGATTATTTTTATGGGAAAATTAACAAATAATCCTTTTATTCACTAGCATTTCCAGAAGCACAAACTTCACTCCGTGTTCCCATAAAGCAGGAACCACAAGAGAAGAACATATATAGGGACCAGAGAAGGGTTTGTGTGCATACAACAGGAAGCACGGGGTTGGACACAGTGACCACGTGGGAGGACGATACTCACACAGCTTGCATAGGGGATCTGCCTGGACTGCTGTCGCTCTCATTGCTGTTCGTGTGCTCCATGGCCCCGTTCAGCTCCTCTCGTATAGCACTGGCTAAGTTGCCCAGAGTGGGATTTCCCATGGAAGCGGTAGTGTATAGAGGTATACTGTTCTCTGCCATTGAAGCCTGCCATCAACCAGGAGAGAACTTATGAAGACACAAGGTATGCAAGACAAGGAAGCTATGAATTACGGGTGCATTCAATAATTTTCAGTCTAAATTCACTGTAGCATGGTCGGCAAACACAAATCTCAAAGAGGTGCAGAAGGAAACTGCTTTAAAAGTGACTCATGCACATGTGCCAAGCATGGTTTCGGTTTTGAAAAGCTAACTGAAGGAAGCAGAATGCCCTTTGGGACTATGTACTCAATTCTGGTCGTGCTTGGTGCAGTCACATGGCTTAGATGGGGGTATTTAGTATGAGATTTATATCTGATTCCTTTTTTCAAGAGGAACGGAATATTTCTAGATCATAGTGAAATGTAATGGAATTTTCATTTCTTTATCCATTTTAATGATGCCACTATTGGATAGCAGAGATTTGATCAGATTATTCTGGCCATACTGCTCAAATTTATGAGAACTTCCATAAACATTGACCTCTTAGATCCTATAGAAAAGGGAAAGACTATAGAATTGGAATCAATTTGATCTCCCCCCATCATTTTCGTTTGAATGAGTTTTCAATCTGTTTATTGAAGTTTGAGATAACTGGCTGAGGGTAACGCTGTGGAATGTCTCAGACTCAGAGCAGTCACCTGGGATTTTAGGACCAGAGGAAAAAAAATCTCTGGCAAAAAGGAAGCTTTAAATCTTGTTTCTTTGTTGTGCCCAAGCATACCCATATTAAAGGTGACAAAATCACTCTGAATGAGTGTCAGCAAAAAAAAAGTGGAAATGGGAGAGAAAACCTCCATCCACATTCTACATTAGGATACTATTTACTTCCTATTCTACTACCTTCCAGTAAAATGGCCCCACTGCCTACAAGAGACAGTAGTCAAATATCCCACTGGACTAAAATGTTTCTATCTGTTTCATTTATAAGTCATTGGGACACAGTGGCTTTTCATTTTGTTGAAAAAGACAGACTTTGAAAAACTGGCAACTATAATTAGACCAAGATTTATCAAAACTGTCCTTTCACAGAACACACGATGCCTGGTTTTCCATCCGAATGATGAAAAAGTACAATCACAAGACACTCTACTCTGGCATGGTGACTTCAAATGGCCCATCTTGCAAGAGTCCAAACTATTCTAGATATCCTGGCAATAAGAGAAGGTATGAGCCAAATATGAAGAAAAAAAGGGAGCAAAGCTAGGCATCAAGGTGTGTGCCCACTGTGACAAATGCAGCCTCACTCACAGTACCAACTCCAAAGCCAGAAATGCTTTCTAGAGATAAGTCCACGTGTGGCCAGTACACACTCACCTAACCTGGGGTAGTCCTCTGCAGGCGCACAGCTTATCCTTTCCTCTGCATTTCAATGTATCTAACTGCCTTCTTTTAAAAAGTAGAGAAAATATCCTGTTTTTATTTCCCAATCTGGTAAACTCATTTTAATGAGTGTTCCCCACTTTCCTAATGTGTGTTAAGTAATTTTCATTCAGTACTTTTTTTCAATAGGTCTTTAGATGAAATAAAGCATTTTTAGAGTGTTGGGTAATGCAGTTGGGATAATAACTACTCCTGCACACTGAAGAGGGACAACCATCTTAGCTGGATTTTGACAACAAAGTGGTCACACCTCTCCCTGTTACAGAAATACCGCAGATGAACTCACACGGTGCCCATTCACTACTGAACAGTCTAGAGAGGGCAAAAGCAGGGCTGTGGTTAGCTTAATATTTCTGCAAATTACTGAGGCAAACATTGAGAAGTAAAAGCAAAAATGAAATAATTGCTAAGAATGTGTTTGTTGGGATGAGCTGGTCGCCCTGCAAAAGGGTGGGTAACCTTGAGATTCAAGTATTGATTCTTGCTGACTCTCAAAAGTACGCTAGTTAAAACCATTTCTGGACTTGGGGATATAGTGGCATAAACGTCTGGCAGGTGCAGATCCCGAGTTCAATCCCTGGTACTGCAATAAATAAATAAATAAATAAATAAACAAATAAATAATAAAAATAAAAATAAATAAAATTGTTTAGGGCTGGTCAGACAGCTCAGCGGACTATAGTGCCTGCTTAGGTTGAACACAGAGGCGGGGTTGATCCCTGGCATGCCATTCCAGACCCACCCCTACGGTAAGCTGAGATGGTGATTGAGACTGGGTGTGGTGGGGCACGCCTGTAATCCCAGCGCTTGGGAGGCTGAAAACAGGAGAATCACTATGAGTTGGATCTACATAGTGAGACCCTGTACTAAATAAACAACAACAACAAAAATATTTTTGATTGAGATTGAATCTTACAGCATGGGCGGAGGCCTAATCACCCTGGTAAAGATAGTCAGCCCAAGGCTGATCCCTTACCTTTGATCCTTGACTATCAAGAGAAAACATTACATGAGGAGAATCAACCTTGTCGCTTTAAAATATAACAAGGGGGCTGCAAAAAGAGCAATCTACTCTAGTTCAGAAAAATTTTCAGGGCCAGGGAGATAGCTCAGTTGAAAAAGCGCTTGCCTGGCAAGCGCGAGGTCCTGAGTTCCATCCCCGGTACACCCCCCAACCAAAAAAAAACAAGAAAAATTTTCACCAATTGCTTATACCTAACATTATTTCTCTGTAGTCAATGTCCTCTTTGGAGCAGGGATGTCACATGTTCTATAATGGATTTAATTATATAAATGATCTTTGCACACTATGTGGCTTCATGTCAAACTGGCACCTTGGCCAAAGAAATGAAGGTGCTTAAGTAACAGTGCAGAAGTCTGTAAGTACCCTTGCTTCTGGAACATTAACTGCTCTGAGATCCTCAGGGGAAAGGCAGTCTATAAATATGAAGCTTTATGGTTACCCTTAGTTACTTCACTTTTTCAGAGCATAATGCAATCTGTCCCAAGTTCTATGTTTTATTTCTGTAGTGGATTCTGCTGTCCTATTTTATAAATTGTGTATCATGCATTATGTTGCTCTAGTAATGCTTTAAAGATATTGTTCCACTATTATTTTTACTTCTTTTTGGAAATGGGTGATAATGGAAAAGAAGGCATGCTGGTACACTTTTTTAATTTAATTTGCACACTGAAAAGTTATCTCATGACTATCTACGGATTGAGGATTTACATTCATACAGGAAGGGAAATAATTCATTTCAAAAACCATGAACTTACAGCAATTAATTTGCCTTGCTATGGACTGTTCTTGGAAAATGGCAGGATGGTTTTTGGCTACCACGGGAACAAGGAAGTACACAGAGGATACAAAAGCAAATGGCTTGGAGTAGAGACATGAACAGCTCTCTAATGACAGAGCTTACAAACTGAAATTAGTCACATAGTTAAGGGAAGGAATCCAGAGGATGGAAGATAATTTTTACTCCTTTTTTTTTTGCTTTTCTGCATCATGAATATAAAATGTGCTTGTAATTTTAATACTATCCTAGATAGTGCTGTCTTTAAATTCACACTTCACAAGACTCCAGGGAAAATAAGTTACTAATGAATGATATTTACAGTGGCAGCATCTAAGCGTACTTTCATTTACTCTTCTAAAGTTATGGTGTAAACTACACGCAATCAAAAGAAACACAAAGTAGTTTCTATTAAATGTAGTTCAGACTAAAAATAATTACTGAAAGGCAAGTTCGGTGAATTTGTTGCTGAACTGTGGAAGATGCATATCCATCAGGAGCCTTAAGAGGCTGCTCAAGATTAGGCAAAATGGTTTCATAGGGCAGAGTAGTTGCTCAATAAATATTTGCTTACTAAACAGTGAGAACCAGGCTCCTGTCAGTACCTCCTCCTTTCCTCCGTTCCCAGAGGGCCAAGTATCTCAATTGTCTTTTCATTTTTTTGCTTCTCTACTGCTGCTCTCATTCCAAGAAATTTTTAATATGTTTATGGGTTTAAAAGGGCACATGCCAGCACAGGATCTAAGAACTAGTGTCCGGCTGTCATTGGCCCCTGGGGGATGCATGGCATACAAGTCTGCAATGGCACTGGATTACTAGTATTGGACTGCTCTACGTTTAAAACTTCCGAAGGTTCTTCTGGCCTATCTCTTGGGACAGTCTGGATAGTGACAAAACAAACAAGAGAACTGGCCAGCGTGGTACTTCTCCCTGTGAACTCTTGTAGGGACCCTGAGCACTATGCCCAGACACTCTGGAGTTGTTCTGTCAATGGAAGAGGTACCTTGGCTATGTGGTAATCGAAAAGTACACTAAGTAAAAGGGTCATGCTAGGTGCCACCTCCCCGCTGCTCAGAAGGGTGTATTCCCTCCCACTCAGGACCACTGGTGATGTCACAAGTGTTTGGTTCCTCCATAGAAAACAAACATTCTATGCAATTATCATGTAATCTTGATTGACCTGCTGGAAAGCTAGACATTTTTCTTAAAGGACTTTTACTGTTTAAAATAATAATAGTTTACTTATCCCAAGTGAGACAAACTCAGACCACCTAACCCCCCAAAATAGATGCAAAAATGAACTTTAAAAGAAGCGGGAGAAACACAAAGCTCCGCTTTCTCTTTAAACCTGTGAACAATAGAAGGTCATGTGATGCAGTGGCCTATCATCCAGCACATTAATAGCTGTGCTAGAGTAATTACACTTGTGGTATTTTTGCCTCAAGTGAAATTCTGAAATAAGAGGATGGAAATTATGATACTGCTGATAAATATTAATAAGTGAACTTTTAATTTTTTTGCCACAATATTCAAAATGCTAAGCATCCTGCTAATGCTGAAGCAGCCCGATGTGTTTGCCTCCAGGGAGTACGATGCTTTGTGCACTTAAGAAAAAAGTTTAACGGAATTAAAATTTAATATCTAATTAGAGCGAGGCTAATATATTTTGAAATGAGTGAGGGAGACACGTGCCTCTGCTGTGTATTCGGGAGGGCCATTAATCTTACCTGTAAAGCTGCATTGAGAGGTGTGCAGTAGGCGTGGCTGCTCTGCATGTTTTTAATAAGGGAAGGGTTACTGTGTGAGAAAAAAGATAAAAACTCAAAGTTAAATGCAATCGACCCATGAGCTCCTAGCTAAATTTCGCTTTAAGCTTCCTGGTTGCCTTCCAAATTAGAAACGTTCCCCACTAACCAAAGGACAGTTATGCCTGATCCCTCTCTCTTTTACAGGATTGGTCTGTGTAAGCGCTGCTGGGACAGACTGCGCTGTTCCACAGAACTGAGGGTACAGTTCTGACTTATGTGACAAGAACCTTGGGGACTCCCTCCTGTAGTAGCGGCCCATCTCCCACAGGAAGACAGGAGCCTGGAGACTGGGCTGGGAAGTCAATGTGCCCACAGGGGGTCTTGGCAATGAGAGGGAAGACCCTCCTTAGACCCCAGGCTCTCCAAGGCACACATACTGGGCAGCAGAACATGAGCACACCAGGAGACTAGGCTGTGGTCTGTCTTGTAGAGCAGATCAGAGGCATGAGGTGACATGGTGCCATTTCTGTATCAATGGACCACAGGAAGCCAAGACAGCAACGTAAGAGATCCTAGGCCTAGCGAGAACTAACAACTTATACAACAAATACTGAATGGCTTCCAGTAGGAAATTATACATTCATCAATGGGCTTTTAAGGAAGTACTGTATACATGATATTATCAGTTTACCCCACACTTGGATCATTTTATTCATCTCATTATATCTACACTATACTAAGTGAACAAATAACATTACCCCAATGCATACATATTTTAACTTTACATAAAAATCTCCTTTTGACTTGAAGGAATTATAGATCACATAAAAGATATTGAGTCATAGGGTCCCTGCAAGCTGCTGAACCAAAACACAATAATTTGCATTAAAGACGCCAAAAAAGCATTATTCAAGGCACTGGTGTTCCAAAGAGAAACGAGAGAAATACATGTACAAATCACACAATTTAGTTTCGTTGCAGAAAGCTGTGGCACTGCTACTTGGTGAAATGTAAAACTACATGGGATGAGTCAACCATGCAAAGCCAAAGCAACAGCAGAAAAATAAAACAAAAGCAAGTAAAGGCTCTTACTGTGCAACAAGCTCGTCAAAGTTTTCATCGGGGCAGTATTTGCGAGGACGGCCTCGTTGAATATGGCGGCCACGTTTAAACTCTTCATCATCAACTGTCCAAAAGGACCCAAACTCATCCTCTACTCTGATAAAGCACTTATGCAGTGAGAGGTTGGTGCGAATGGCACCCTGGGATAGGAGCAGCAGCAAAGGAGATGAAGTGGCAACAAAAGGAGAGGGGGTTGGGGGCAGAACAGACATCCAATACAGGGAACAGGAAAAAGAAAATAAAATGCAATAAGCATAAGCAAATGGTTTGTGAGGGTTAATATGCATTGCCACCTAAAAGCTACTAGCATGTGATGCAACAAAGACCAGCAAGCAGGGCAGGGGACTGGTGGGTATACAAAACAGGAGGGATGAAATGCTTTTTTGCTTCCCTTAACTGAGACAATGTGAAACCAGTTCTTTGGTCTAACACCATCTAGCAGCCAAAGCCTCTACGTTACACTTGTTAGCACAATCCAAGCTAGGCTAAGAAGTTCAAACATGGTGGACGTACCCACTGATCTTTTGTGGCCTTCGTTTTTGGAATTCTACTTCATCCACTGTCCATACTGCCCCTTTAACGTTTTCTACTCGCACAAAACACTTGTGAAGACTAAGATTATGACGCACTGCATTCTGCAGCAGGTATAAAAGAGAAAACATTTACATTTTCTGTAAGAAAAGACTCCAACAACAGCAGTACATTCAGCCTAATAGTCCACATTTGTAAAACCATCCCCGAGAACATGAGCTACCACCCCCATGGAGGACATTGTTGTGGTTGAGGGTGTCTTTTCTGATGAAAAAAATCTTTAAAAAGTACAAATTAATTGCACTCTGGTGCTCTAATCTAGTCTTTGGTAGTATCTAACCAGAAGATATATTAATAATATAAATGCAACCCAGAAATAGGTTCCATAATACACCTCTGAATATACTGTTACTATGACTTCAAAATACATGACACGGAAGTAGTTTTTTGAGACTCATTTACCTCTTATTTAGAAAAGAGTGGCTTATTATTAAACCATGGAAAACGAAGACTTCATTAATGTGGCAGTATCTGCTTTTAAAAAATGCACATGGGTTTTATTAGGGAGAATTCTAAACAGGATTTTACCACTGAAAGTGTCACCTTGTACAGCCAATGGCACCCAGGGTGAAATGACCCCAGGGGATCAGTACCCATGATCCAGCTCTTTCTTACTGCCACAGTATATGTGAAAGCTGGCACACACTACAGAGGAGCAGCTTGACTAACTGAACGAATGCCAAGGAATACATGAGCAAGACCCTTAACGTAAAAGGAATACATTTCTGCATTTCAGGGTTTTTGCACACAAATGGTTCTAAGTCATTTCTGGCCATTGCTAAGCCGAGACTCTTCAGGTTTACAATCTACTAAAACAGATGGGGCTTGCCACGCAGTTCAGGAGTGACCAGCTTCCAATATTTCATCTTCTCCTTGAGTTTGGGGAAAACATACAACCTTGGCTGGGCCCACAACCAAGGATGGCTTGCTTTAGTCCTTTCTCACTGAACTTACTGATGCAGACCCAGAGGACATTATTAAAAGATTTAGTTAAAACGTTCTCCTCCTACAGAGCAAGTGTCGCATGGAGAGCACGAGATGGTAATGCATACGCTGCACCTCACACAGTGTGCCCTGGTTCTACTTCAATAATGTTGCTGCTGCCCAGCGGCTCTGCACCATGAACCTCTTTCCTTCAATCACCCATAGCAGTTGCTCTCTGAATTTAATAAAGGCAGCAAATCTTAATACCTTGAGAGGTGTTTCAATTTTTAGACAATCATAATTGGTGACTATGAGGATTCAGGCTAAACATTTTCTCTGCAAAGGAATATTTAGAAGATAATGAGACAACTTTTATTGCATGGTGTGATAAACTGCTCACAAGGAGAATCCATGGGATAGATTCCCAAAGAGTTTTTCAACAGTGTTAGTGTAACTGGGCCAAGTGCACAATATTGAGGACATTAACAAAGGACATCATTCACTGACAAAAATCTTGATAGGTTTGCTTAAGAATAAAACTTTAAAAACACTTGACAGCACAGTTGTTACTTGGTAGGGTAAACTTCTTTGTGTCTAAAACTGTGGCCTAGCTTCTAAGCAAATGAGTTTCACAAAGGCATAGGACACTAAAGATCATCTCCCTGAGCACCATCGGGGAGATATAAGCGAAAGGGAATCCAGGGAGCATGTACACATGTAAGAGGTACAGGTGCAGAGTAAAGGACATTGATGTTTTAAAATAAATATTACATTGTAGAACTCAAAGAGTTATGAAGCTACTGCATGATAAAAGCATTCATGCACACCTGGTTGGATGACACAGCCATGACATTATCATAAGACGCAAGGCCAAAATGTAAGTTTTGTCTTTAGGACTTCATATTAGTAGAAAGTAACTAAAAATCAAGAACTTTCAAAAAAGATGTGTGGGATCTTCTCATTAATAATTTTAAAGTGGGCATTGCATCTTTTGTCTGAGGCCACAGTATCAGCAAGGACACACAGAGAAAATTATATGTATTTATGAATCATTAATTACCTCATGTAGGGCTGTTTACATTGATGACACTTTTGCCTGCATTTTGTAATTTTGAAAAAAGAAAGTTGCATCTGAAAAGCTGACATTAAATTTATATTCATAACTGGTGATTATTATTATTATTTTAATGTGTTTGGTCGTTACAGGGGCTCACTACGCAGCTTAGACTCACAGTGGTCCTCCCGTTTTCAGCCTCCCCAGCGCTGGGAGTATAGGTGTCACTGCACCTGGACTCTGTGGCCAGTCTGGCCAACCCTGGGGGCAGGACTGGCATGGTAGGTGGTGCTGGGTTCAAACCTGGCAGGCGCTTTAGTCTGCTGAGTGATCTTGCTGGCTCTGACTGGTGATTATTTTTAAATTTGATCATTTGGTTTTTATAAAAGACAATCTGAAGAAAATGTTTATTTTATTCTTCTGTTTCCTACATTTTTAAAGGCATCTGTAGCTAAAGAGCCTGTGTATTTTATCCTCCAAGGCAAGGTGAAGAAAGTTGTAAGATTGTGAACATAGATTTTCTTCAGGGGCCTTGTGCCAATGACTTAAACCTCTGGTTACATTACTTCTCTTTTCTCTGCAGTACTGAGCACTGAGTCTAGGGCCTTTGTATTGAGTTACATGCCCAGCTTTTCTTTATTTTGAGGCAGGGTCTTACTACATTGTTCCAGCTGGGCTCAAAATTCTGATCCTCTTGCCTCCACCTCCCAAAATGCTACATTACAGGTGTGTGGCACCATACCTAGCTATCTTTTCTTTTAAAATGCTCAGCATAAAGATAATAGAGGAAATGCTTTTTTTTTTTCTCCCATATGAAATTTAAGTACTAGCAAGGAAGGAATTTATTTCAATTAAAGTAAGTTTTCCTTGTATCCTATAATAAATCTCTATCATGTTTGGACTAATGACATGTGGAAATCCTAAAATATTTGTATTAAAGGTGTCTAAATGTTTTGAACTGCAGGGATCAGTACTCCAGGTAGTAAAAAATAGAAATGCGTATGCCTATGTACATGTGCCCTCTTTTACAAGCAAGAAAAACAGACAATAGAACCAACTGCTGAGCTGAGAATGAGCAACATCACATGACCCCCAGTACTGTTGGGGGACATCTAACGGAGCTATGGAATTTGACCTGGTTGATACCAAATGGCATTATAATACAGCTCCATGACTTAGAAATACTTTTCTTCCTTAGGTTATCTATGACACCTCTGAGGGACAATCCCTTGACTAAAACACTGTGTTGTCTTGTAAAAAGTTTCCATTTACAGCACTAGTATCTGGATTGCACAGTTTTTTCTGCTAATTGGATTGATTCGCTTTTATCCAATGAGTAAAAATTCAGTTTGGTAATTTCTCTGGGTTGCTAATGGTGAAAAAACAGGTTGCCTTTGCCTCTCCGCAAGTGTTGGGTATGGTTAAACACCCAACAGAATGAGCTCTGCACAAGCAATGGGACAACCTCAGCATGAGGGCAAGTGCCATCACCTTCTTTCTACAGATTCTGGTTGGGGAGAGAGAGCTCCCCTGGCTGGCCCAGCCACACACCTGCTGCAAGTATGATGGGCATTTTTCCTCTTAGCATCTCAACCACAATGGAACTTGCTTCCCAATCAAATAAACTGGGTAACTGGGTGTACTGAAACAATACAAACAAAACTTTCTTATAGCCAGGTAACTGGGATTTATCAACAACTACTTCTGCCTTATAAAAGTCAAAATCCAAGGTTAAGAGAGACTTGAGAGAGCGTACCTTCCATGTAGCTGCATTGCGTCGGAAGTAAGCAAACATTCGTGTGAACCAGTTATAGATTTCATTTAGTGTTAGCTGCTTTTCTGGTGATTCAAGAATGGCCTGTAAATAATTTTTTTTTTTTAATCAGAAGATAATTTATGACCGATTCAGCAGAATCATCATTATACAGTTTCTTAAAAATATAAAATAACTATGATTCAGAGCTAAATCCTAAGAAAGATTTCATAAAATGATCTAAGATTAATGGTTGTATTTAACAGTTCAATAGCAAAACTCAAAATGGAATTATCTAATTGTTTTGAGTTTTTATTTCTGTTTCTGTACAGAAATATTAATTTATTAGTCATTCATAAAGCAGAATCAAAGAGAAATGCAAAACATTTCACTAGCTGATTAAAGCTCAGTAATTATTTAGAGCTCAGATTAATTCTAGGGATCAGAGATTACTGTAGCTTGTGATAATTGACTTGCCATCTTTAAACAGGCTCATTTTCACTGTTGTGTGAAATGAATTTCCTAATAATCACATCGTATTGTAATACTTAATCAAAAGCAATTATGTTATATATTGCAGTTTTAGAAAACCTTATAGAAAAGGTTTTAGCATGCTTGCATACTAAACGATTTTAAATCTATTTCATCAATATAATATATCCTTGTACAAGTATACCTTTTGCTATAATTCACATAGTTATTTACTTACCTGCCTAATTAAAGATGCATATGTAAATGGTGGTCTAACTTCTGCGTTCTTATAAAATTCTTGGTTCTGCGCAATATCTGCTAAATAAGAATCATTGTCCTATTAATTATCATGTTTTTGAAAAAGGGCTGATGTGCAACAATTGCATGTTACAGTTCTACATGAGGCAAAAATGGAGCAGCTACCTGAAGAAATGGGCACGTTGTATTTGTCTGAGTACCGCCTGCGGATGGGGCCCACCGTGTGCATGCTGGTGGTGGTGATGACAGAGGGGCCCTGGGTGACAGGAGTCAGGGGGGCAGTGGGGGTCGTTGGAGTATGAGGTAAGCTCTGTGGAGAAGCCTCCGATGCAGACTTGGAGAGGGTGACGCTTGATACCAGATTGAGCTGTGAGGAAAAGAACATGGCTTAAAAGACCTTCAGAGAAACAAAGCGACCAAGAAGGCACCCCATATCCAGCAGGCATGGTTCACAGGATGCCTGGCTAGCATCATTTCTCTCAGCAGACAAGTTTATAAACAATTCACTTAGGTTTGGTGTAAGCTGTCTCTTGCTCTGCACTCTTTTCTTTTCCATGAGATAGGTATTTTCCAAAGACTGCCAAATGGATGTTTACAGATGCTAAAAGGGATTATCCAGTGGAGTGAGTCTGAGAAATCCTTGGTCAAGACATTTCTTTAATCATATACCCCTTTCATAACCTCAGAATCCTCAGCAGCACCAGAGAGGAATGATGCTGGACTGAAGACCACGTGGGATATCAAGGTACAGACCTGAGCTGTTCAAAAGAACTTTCCACCACCGCCAGCCCAGCTGAGCGGTGGTGTTTATTCACTTTTTCTAAAATTAGTTTCTGTTTAATTTTAATGGATTTACATTTAAATGGCCCCATGTGGCCAGGAGCTGCCAAGCTGGCCAGCAGGAGGATGGGCTCCTCAGCTCCATCATGAACCTTCATGCATGTGGGGCCCACTGCAGATGTCTGGCCTAGGCTCATACTGAAGACTGGCCCTCAGCCAGAAAACCATCATTTATTTCTGTCAAATGGCCGACACTAATCTTTAAAAGCTTTATGTGCAATGGTTATTAAACTCTATCAAATAAAGGACTAGTATCTATTAATTTAAAAAGTACATGGCCTATGAAAGATTCAGAACTATAAGATTTCAGTTGATATTTTTTCTTTCAAGTTTCAAATGGTTCCATGAAAATGAAATAATCTACTGATTTGAGTAAGGAAGTGAATTATTATTTATTTGAAATAGCATAGAAGAAAATGAATAGCTTTTCTGATTTACTGTATGTCTTACCTTCATCTTATAGTGCTACTCTTAGAAATACTAGGAGGGACAATCCTTTTCCAAAATTTATTGGAACTGAATTACTATTGTGTAAGTTCAGCAATGAAAACTTCATGGTTTCTAGCATATTTATTACCATTTTAGAAAATTGCTCAGAAACAGAGCCTTTCCTCAATCTAAGGGATCCATGTAAAGCATCTTGGTAACACTTTCTCAAACCAGGTTTCAACTCACCATATATGGTAAGTCTTTTTCAGCATAGTTAAAAGTCAATCCTAAACACAAGGCATTACTTGTGAAAGGTATTAAAAAGGAGTATCGTATGAGATCCTAATAAAAGCACACAATAAAAGAAAGTTCTGGAATATTGAGAATACACAACTCTTATACTCCAGTAATGAGAAAGGCCATGAGAATCCTCTCTGTCTGTTATGTTAGGGGGGTTCCAAGGGATGAAAAGAAAGATCCCCTACGGCTTAAGAAAAATGCAAACCTGAGCCAAATGCTGGGCCTGCATATTTAGTTGCGAGCGTTCTAGTCTCAGCTTGAAAGGTTGACTCAGCAAACCACAGATCCCCTGGCCCGAGAGCTCAAGAAGTCACAGAAATGGTGTATCACTTAGCACTGTCTCCACTGCCCAGCAAGCTGGGAAGATGGTGAGCAGCCATCTCTACCCCACTAGAAACCCGACCTGGCGAGCAACACTTGCAAACCAAGTACTAACAGTTTAGAGCAGCAGCCTGGGGACAGGGCAGAGCTGACAGGTCAATGGAGCAAGGTTGGGGCTGACCCTTCCTCGCCTCAGGCCTAAATGGCTGATCAGGTCCAAGAACAGTATGTATCAGCATCTGCTGGAGCAGAGGGTCAAGGAAATTAGTGCACAAAGCTCATAAATGCACAGCTCTTAGAATTCAGATGCTGCTGAGTCAGAGAGTATTTCAGGGCACTTCAGAAAACACATAGAAAGCTTTTACAAAAATGTTTTAGAACACCTGCCTCTGTATGGTTTCAATGATTAACACAACTTCACCACTAATGTTCCTCATATTTGACAGAGAAGGAAACTGAGGCTTGTCCACATTTCTAAAGAGCACCAAAACTCAACCCACCTATTCAAAGGGTCCTAGACACAGTATAATCTCTTTATTCCTAGTTAATGGGAAAAAAAACCCCCACCAGTTTTACTTTTTTCTTATGGTCACTTTGGAAAAGACTCAATGTGTAGCTTTCATGCCTGCCTATAAATGGCATTCAATAACAGTCCTGAGAGCCATAATGTGGCTAGTCCTCTGATGCAGAAAACAGGAATAAGTGCACAGCTCCTGTCCTGAGTGCTCACCATTGGAAAGCACACACTGGCCTAAGGTAAGCGTTCCCACACACCATACAATTCTAGGGAAAGAGTCTACTTCTCGGCTTCTGTTTTTAGCTGAAGACTATTACCGTAAAAACAGATCATGACTTTCTTTAAAACATAACAAAAGTTATGAACACAAATGTCCTTAAGATATTTTAGGGACACATATTCATTTTCAGTTTTGTGGCGAAGATCACCACGTCCAACTGAGCTCTACTTTAGCGGTCACAAATCAACACTCATGTAAACCTTCAGCAAGTGCAAGCCCCTCTCTCTGGCTGCTCACGCCTAAGAATAGATCAGTTCCACTGACAAGTCATCAAATGCAAAAATAATTTGATCCTTGAAGCCTCTGCAAGGTTTTAATACTTGGATCATTTCTACCAGCGCAGCTGACAAAGAAAAAATAAAATCCATCCAGGTTAGCAAAATCCATGAAGAAAGAGACACAGGCCAAATTTTCTGGGTGTATCTGAATATAGGTGGCAAGGAGAAATAAACAGTGCCAGGAGAGAGCAGAGAGGGTTTACCAGCCTTGACAAATGACACCGCGATTCGCACCCACTGCTAGGCTGTCTCTAATAAGCCACAGAGGAAGCAGCGAATCTCAGCTAATTACCAGATAAAAATGTATTGTAAGGACTCTAATTAGGAGACGCGGATGGAGGTGATCTAATGATTAAATGCTGCATCCGAGTGACCCCACCATCAATGTGCAGTGGTGCAAGATGTCACTGGAATATTTTGTAGAAACAGTAATTTTATTTCAAGGAGGAGAGGCAGTAATATTTGTAATGATGGCTATGAGGTAAACTAATTAGAAGACAGTTCCTAGAGGAAGAGGGTGGCTGAGAGCAGCTGTGGCCATTCCAAAAGCAAGTGCCAAGTCTCCATAGAGGAGTTGCAGTCAAGTGGAAAATTTCTGCCTGACCTCTGCCCTTGCTATTAATTTGCAGGAAAACTAATGACACATATACATATTCCCACAAAATTGTTCTAATTGCTAATTTGCCAAAGGAGCCCAGATTCCAAATTAAACATGACTATAGCCTGTGAGGGAAGGAAGAACAAAAAGCTGTAAACTCCAAATAGACAGTGCTTTGCCACGCAAGAATATTTGAAGGCTGAACCAACAAGTTAATGAAATGTCAACCTTGTCAGCTGTTGTAGAAGTTTCCTAACTTTTAAACTTTTGTCTGATGATCACATGCTTGTCAGGGGCAGAAACCGTCATGGCAAGGGAGAGAGAAGACGGAGGCTGAAGAGGAAGCATTCCAAACAGGCTCTGCTCAAACCAACCCAACTCTTTCACTTAAGGGCCCTCGGAGAAAAGCGGACCACAAAGAAAATTAACCACAAGACAGCAGAAGGGCAAGTCAGGAACAATGTGGGTTCTGCTGTAATCTTGAAATATTCATCTTAATTGTAAACTATTAAATCTTATTATCATCATCAATTAGAAATGAAAGCACCTGTGTTTCACGTTTCTGATTGTAGTTAAGGTTTTAAAAAAGATAATTTTTTTCCGGGGCATGGAGCAGGAAAGGATTGGACAGGGAGGGTTTCTTTTCCTGATGGAAAGCCTATTTTTCTTATTGTGTTCATTTTCTATTTAAAAAGAAGTTGCTATGTTTAGAAAAGTTGGTAACTCTGATTATTTTCTACATGGCAAGTTTCCATCATGTGGTGATTTCGGCAAAGATAATCTCTTTGAAACTCTGGCCAAAAGTTAAAATCTTGTGTCACTTAATATTGCTGTATGGTTTTAAAAAATGCTCTTAAGGACTGTTTTTTCTTCCATTTAGTTATAGAGGGTATCTCCTGGACACTTTGCCATCAAAATGATCCCAACCCTATCAACTATCCAATATTGTACTCAGTCCTGTTCTTAAAAAATTAATCTGCAGTTTTTCAACAACAACCTCCTCTCCAATGTAGATGAGTCACTCACATTTAAAAAAATAAACAAATGGCTGATGTAAACCCCAGACAGAAACAGCCTTGTTGTGAGTATTCCCATAAGAACCAGTTTTTTGTTTTTGTTTGTGCTCTTGCCTCACATGAAAACAGATTATGAGAACAAAAGACAAACCTGAAACCAAAACACTAAAGCCAGGGCTGCACAGTAGGGACTTTCAGGCTCACAGAACTGGTTTTTCTGCTATGAATTTTACCGGCCCAAGCCACTCATGTCTGCTCAGGTCCAGCAGAATCACAGAGTGCCCAGCAGCTGCATTTCTGGGCTTGAATAACTGAATCCAGAGATGACCGTGGTGTTGGACCTTGGGGAAGGCAGCACAGCAGGTGGCAGCTGGAGGCCCTGTTGGAAGCTCTGGCTTTCCTTCCCTGCCTTAGCCTGGCTGGGATATGGGATGCTCAAAAGGCAGCACTAAACAAGATAAAGCCATACTGATACCAGAAACAATAAAACCTGAGTTGAGGGAGGAGTGACTTCACAAAAAACAGTCCACAACACACCCTCCGTGTGCTGCACTTAAGCATCCTTTTTTATATCCAGTTGTTATTTCCCCAACTCTACAGCAAGACCCCAGCAGCCTACACTGTTAGCCACTGCTAGAAGAGTAAACTGGCCCTTTTTGCAAAGGGGGGGCACACAGTGTTTTTCTAGAAGTCCTTTCAAAGCATTTCTTATTGCCAAGGTTAGAGTACCAGATAATGTGTAAAAATGAAAATCTAACTATTGCATTTCATTCCAAAAGTGCTTTATGGTATTTTAATAAAGAAAGCTCTACTACCTACACTAAATCTGAAACAGTGTGGTTTCTCTAGGGGTGAAGAATGGTTCTCTGATGTGCAGGAATACCCTAAAGCCCAGCAAATCTCCCATGTTCTCATGCATTATAAAACAAGCTTTACAGTGCTCTCCTGACATCATGATAGTGAACACGCTTTTATAGCAATCTTTAACAACTTAATAAAGTCCTAACAGATATGTTTCTTGTGTTGTCTATGAGTTTTGCCTCTTCCTCCCAGGAAATACCTTCTTAGCAGCTCCACCTTGGGGTAAGCATGGACAACAGTAGCCTCCAAGCAGCACACTATGAGCAGAGCTAACTACTCTGATACTCTTACTGCTGTTGAGAAAAAATTTCAGTCGTTTTCATTATTATTTTGTGTTTTTTCTTTGCTTCTTTTACCATCAAAAGGAAAGAACCTTTCAAAGCATGCCAAGTTGGCCACTCTAAACCTAAGCCAAGGCACCCAAATGCTAGAACTTAACAGCTGCCCTGTGGTATTTCCATGCAGGGTTCAGCCTTAACAACATTAAGAAGAGTTTCCCTCAGGTGACGTGATGTTGGCTGTTCCTTTCCTTCCTCCACACTAACTCTCATTCTCCTCTTTTCTTTCCAGCTCCCATCCTCAGAGACTCAAAGACATGAGCACCCACTGCTCATCACAAGAGAGATCTAGGAAGCTCGTTTCTTACCATGTCTTCCTATTCACCTTCTGGATCGCAGCAGAGACATCACTTTTCCAAAGAAGTCCTTGCTAACCCTGTTTGCCAGTTCACTGACCCTACTCACACACAGCACAATCCAGGCCTTGACAGTGTGTAAAAGTAGTTATTTGTTAGCTTCCTTCACAAGACACCAAACACCTCACTGGCAAGGTCAAGCCTTTCTCATCTGACAACTCACTGCTCAGTATACTACGTGCCCAATAAATACTGTGGACAGGCTATAATGGTACTTTGGTTCATGAATTTAATTCATTCCATGATTGTGAAGAAGATGGCTGTGTTCATGTTTGTGTGGGAAAGATGACCACCATAGTGTTCATCTCCTGATGCACAGTTTGCAAACATAGAACAAAACATTTGTGAATCAAACTGTTTGCAAACCTGAGAGCTCATGAACCAAGCTGCCACTGAAATAACCTACACTTTGAGACCTGGCTTTAATTCTGAGGTTCTTCATACAGGATGGCAGCAGAAGACAGGTTACTGAAGGGGCTTGAGGGACCCATGCTTCTCTCCTGTGTGCAACAAGCTAAGCTCAGCTCAGCACCTATGACCTGGGGCACTGTACTGAGATAAGCACATCTTTCAATCTATCTAGCTGTAGAGATGAACTCCACAATGGGACCCAAAAAATACATCTTGGAGCTGACTGAAGAACAATCCAAGAACATGCTGGCAGCCTCTCTGATGCAGTGAAGTGGGGATGAGTTGGACAACTGGCTACAACAAATGACACTTACTAACCAAATGGTATTTAGTGAAGGGCAACATTTACAGCAGAGCGTTTTATCACTTAGTGACTAAGAATTTTTAAATAAACACAAAGTTCCTCTTAAACAGAAATGGAAAAAGGAAACAACTTCATAAACTTACTAGAATGGTTATAATATGAAAGTCCCCATCTATGGTTAGATTTGAATCTCAGTGACTGCTTGTTTCAAGTCAGACTCTAGAAGGATATTGATGCAAACATACATGAGGTATTCTATCAGCCAGGGTGGGATAAATTAATTTCAGGCTGTAGTAAATATTTTGTACATTAGGATCAGTCACCAGATAGCTCTGGGTCCCTAAAGTTGAAAGCACCAAGCATTGGCAGTTCATGTGTGCCTTTTCTTTCTCTCTTCTTTTTTTTTTTTTCCTTTTTTTGGCAAGGAAGCAAAAATTTATGAAAAACATTACATGTCTATCTTTTATAATTAATTTTCCAATGCCTCACCTATACAAATTTTAATAATTCTTGATTTATAAGATGGTATCTATAATAAAATTTTCTATTTTCCAATAAATGAAAAGAAGGCAGGTTCATTCCAACAACAGAGTGTCACACAATATCTGCTTGTCAGGCACCAATTTTTACTTCTTACATGTAAGTTAAAGGATAAGGAATTTATAATGCTGCCTGTGAAGGGAACCACTTTTCATACACAAATGTGATCTTTTTTTTCAAAGGGTAATACAACAGTACATTTACATAAACTAATCCAAACAATCTATGTATTTGACAATGGCAAACCTCACACAGACGGCCTATTGTTGGTTTACATCTTGGAGTTCTTTATATTGGCTTGTAGCGCTGCTCTAGCTGTCAAAGGTTTGACTTGGACTCTAAATAAATGGTTATAGAAGTGCTGTGCAGCGATATTGGACTTCTTTGCAAAAGAAAACCTGCTGTGTATGAATTCAAAAGCTATTAATTTTTCAGTCAAAAATATTCGTGCCTATTTCTTTTAATAAAGAAATACTGTGCTGAGCTACTAAGAGATAATGTTGACTAGTGGAAGAGAATTTTCAATAGAGCAGTTAAAAATAAATTTAGTAGGAGGTCCCCTTCAAAGTTATAATTTTCTAGAATGTAAAACATTTTTTTATACTAATCAAGACAAACCTTCCTTCCCTGCTCATTTCTCCCCAGCTGCTTTTCCTGTTTACTGGTTGCTTAGCCCTGATCCACATGGACATTTGGTGACGGTCTTCTTGCAGCGTGGTGTGGCCCTGCCAACTAACACCCAGGCCTCCTGCTAGCTGGTCACCCGTGGGGACTATTGCTCCACTTTTTCAGAGATAGCTCTCCTCTTACTGAGGAGCACCACGATCTAAAATAAGTCTATTACTAAGTGCTCAGGCCAGCCGTGGTCCTATCACTGTTGCTCTTTATCCATGGAGGACAGGAGATAATCTCATCTTCTCCCTCACTCCTAGGTATAAAAGTTCAAAGCCTTCATCCTGGGGAAAATAGTTTGACTAAAGCCATCTGAAGACATGGAGAGTCCCAAGGCTCTCAGAGCAGTTGGGACAGACTATGCCTGTTTAGAAGACAGCCAACTCATTTCAGGTCTCACCAGTAGGGTTTGCTGAATCCATGTTCTGCCACGTACCCTCCTTCAAAGGATTGGAAGGAAAAGCATAGTTGATGACTGATTGATTCCTCAATATGGGAAGACCTAACTCCCTTTTTATTTCTCCTTTCTTTTTGGTAGCCTACTCCTTCAATCTTAGCCATTTACTGTGAAATACATGGAAACTAAGGACTCTTTCCTAGTAAAAATGGATGCGCGAACTGTTTAATGATTTTATGTCCTGTATCTCAGTAATGTGTTCTGTTTCAGACATTAATTTTGTCTGCCAACTGCAACTTGGCAGGCTACCATATTTGCTGGGTTAATAGTCTGACTCCGTTTTATTTCTATCACCATAAATCATACATATATGGGTGTGTGTTTGCTTTATTTATAGAAAAAAATCAGTCAAAACAGATAAACCAATACTTTGCTATTATGCTGCATCATTGCATATTGATTAAAATTGCTGGTACTAACTATAGATTGTCAACGCTCAATTAATTTTCACACAGTGACTCCCAGCAAAATCAAATAAAAGCAGTGTACCTTTAAATTTTACAAATCTTAAAATCAAGGAGCAAAGCACTGTCTCCATTTTGAATAATCAGTTTAAGCTACTAAGAAATTTTTAGAAACAGAAGCATATGAGAGACGCAATGGCAAACAGGATCAATTCATTACAAGGCGTGAGGTCTCAGGCAGCACTGAGGATCTCAACACCATTCTTCTGCTCTGGGATGAACTGGCTATGCTGGGATGGCATATTTCAAAGTTCAGTGCAAGGAAATAAGGCAAGAAAATGGAGACACTCTAAAAGTAGAAGGTAATCTCAATGTACTATATTTGATATCCTAACTCTGGAAGAGTAATTTTTCACTTCAAAAGCCTTAGAACCACTAGCTGGTCCTCTTCACTTAGCCTGTCACAGTCCGACTGGTGGGCTTCCTCTGTCTTTTGACTGTTACAGTTCAGCGAGACCAATCCTTGCTCCTTTTCTCCTGCAATGCTGTCTCTCAGCTTGCTAGGCCAAAATGCCTTTTTCTCCTGTCATCATGGTCTGGTTAACTTCTCCACATTCCTGCTTTTGAGAATGACTGTCTTTTTCCACAGGGTTCCCACAAAATACTTTAGAACCTCTGTTTAATACCACTCTGTTTCAAAGAAGAGCTGCTTCCTTAGATTTCATGGGTGAGCATCATGTATGGGTCACGCTATGTGTCCCCAAACGCCTAGCTCACTGCGACAGTTAATAGAACTGAAGGCCTCTGACACTTACATTAGTCAATGGAACTGTTCTCCTCCCCATGCTGGCACGGGAAACATAGAATGAGGACCGTAAGTTTTGCTACTTGGTGGAGCATTACTTACGGGCTGAGGGGCAGCTTTGGGTTCTGTGGACTTCACATGCAGATGGGTCATCATGGCTTGCAGCCGCTCTTTGTCTTTTGCAAGCTAGTAGGAAGAAAAGGCTTTGTTACCTTTTTGAATAGATATAAGACTGTTTTAATGATTACTCCATATTAGACATATTCCAAACAACTACGCCATCACAGCACATGACAAAATCATTTTCACTGCTTGTTTCTGAAATCTACAGGACCACTGTCAAACTCCCAAGTAACTGGAGGAAGCATTGTAAGTTTCTCAACACAAGATGCATTAGACTTTAACTGGGATATTCTAGACCTGCTGGCACCAAGAAGCCACATGGAGCATGGACAGCTAAAGACAAATGTGAATCATGCTTATTAACCATCCTCATTCACAAGGAAGCCAAAGGAAAAGGAGGTAGGCAGCTAAAACTCATAAATTTATCTGTTGTGGTTGTGGAACAATTCCTAGACAGATGGACACATCTGTGCAAAATTAGCTTCAACTCTTTATGGTTAAGTACAGATTCAGACAATGGTGGCAGGTGACACTGGAAGAAAGGAACAGGGCTAGAAAGGCTGATGGGGTCCTATCTTCAAATGAATACAAAATAAGCTTATTCATTTATTCAGTATTTAAGGACATGTTATGTGCTAGCCTAATATTAACAATTTACATATCTTTATAAAATTATCTTCTGATGTCACAGATGAGTCTATTGGAAGTACACGGCAAGCATTCACTACTTATTGGATAGTTATACCTTTTACATTTAATTCACACTACTAAATATGATGATAATTTTGGTAACTGAGAACAGTTGGACATAGATGACATGCACTGATTTTTGTAAAAGAAGTAGAAAATACATCCACAAAAGATAAAGATACATTTAACAGAGCAACTATGTGATTGAGAGAAAAATGCAGATGAGATTAATGAGACAGACAGACAACACAAGAATGAATGAATATATAGTTTTATTTCAGAACATTTGTTTTAGGGAGAGACTTATTGTATGTCACACCATCTACCTTAAATCCTTTAAGCAAATTTAGGAGGTATAAAGATATCGCAAAACTGACCATGCTTGATTTTTAAAACAAAGTTATTTTCTGAGGTGATAGGGACTGAAGAACTGGAGCAAGGCAGAAGAAAAGAGAAAGGGACCAAGAGAGGTGAGAAAAGGCTTTCAGCGTGTCCTGACTAGATGACTCAGTCTCAAGCCATATCACATTAGATTTTTTTTTAATTTTCTTTTATTCCCTTGTGGTTCAGGGAGAAATAAATTAAGAAGAAAAAAGCCTTACAGTGTTAGCATTTATCTTTCAACAAACAGGAAATGAAAATGATACCACATTAGGAGCCACTTGATGTTCTTTGCTAAGTTATTGAACAGCCAAAGTAAAAGGCTCTCTGAGCACAGAATGCTAAAGGAATCCAGTTTTCCAAAGTGGCCCCATTAGAACAATTGAAATGTTGGGAACGACACTTCTACAGTTACTCATTTTTCCATTAAGTGATCTCTAAGATTTTGATGTTAAAACTAAAATATTTATTTTAAAAAGTTTAGTTTTAAACTTGTCATGGAGGGAATTAAGGCATACAGGTTGCTCTTTTCAAAAGCAAGAAGTAGCCTGTCCTGTTGAACACGACAAATTAAAGGGAGAGAGGTGTTATTTACTGAAGAGACTGCTGAATATTAATTATGACTTAATTTGGGGGCAAGCATTGTTGGTGCAGCAGTTACAGAGACCAAGCCTAGTAAGAGGAAAACCCCAATTCCCAGCTCTGTATTTGATCCTTCTCTGTATCTCATTCCAGCTCAGCTTATGCTGCTGAGCTACATCCTCAGTCCCTAACGTCCCAGAGAATCCACTCCACCATCCGATCTCTGCCTTTGTAGAAGTAGACTGAGGTTCCATACAGATGCAAAAATTTTGTTGTTTGGCTGGTATAAACTGACAAGTAATGTATTTTTGGATGAGGTTTTGATAATCAACTTTAGCCCTGATATAAGTTCTTTTTCTTTTTTTAACAGTTATAGAAAGAAACATTCCAGGTTCATTTTCTCCAAAGCAAAAGGAGAAACACACCTTTTGAAATATTGCCTTCTTTCTTAGCTCTCTTGCCTCTACAGCACTCACTGGTCCTTCAGAAAGCTTCCCTGCTCTTTGTTACCTGTTAACGCCATCCCTCCATGAGCTCACTATCCCCAACAACTTCTCCAGCTCCCTTTCATTGCTGCAACATGAGAACACATGTGCATTCTATCAGTAAGCGTAGGGGCGGCTGCAGCTCAGGTGGTGAAGCACTTGCCTGGCATCCATAAAGTCCTAGGTTCAATTCCCGGCAACACAAACAAATAAACAAAAAATAATATAAATGACATGTATGTTTTGGGGCTGGGCTATAGCTCAGTTGGCAAACATATTCCAGTGTGCCCTCTTAAACTGTACATCCCATTAAGAGCAAACAAAAAGTAGTTGAGCAATACACTCCAAAGATCAACCAACAATTTGGTTGGCAAATTTCAGTTTTTCAAAAGATGTTGCAATATCAAAAGAGAAAAGCTTCTAGAGAGGGCATGGAATGAGTCTGTGCCAAACAGGAGCTAACAGTGGGCTACACAATGGGGGCTGTGGGTGCAGAGGTTACTGAATTTAACTAAAGAGTCTGTGTGCTGGTTCTCTCAAAGCACAGCTGAACAGAGATGGTGAAGAATGTGCGCCCAGTACTTGCACTGTGCTGAATTCGAATTCTGGCCAGGTGATCCAAATATTGCGATAGCTCTTCACTGTCCTTCTAATTATGGAGTGATCATCTCTGAGCTCTTAAGGCTTGTCCTGAAGATGAGCTAGGCACAGACCAGGCCCAACACAGTGACCGGTGCTTCATTGATGCTAAAAAAATATTTACTTTCTCTTTTAAAGAGATGTATAGTCAATATAGTCTAGACTGGTTGTGTGAATGTTTAGAATGTGGACTAACATTACAGGGATTCAGTGGAGTCTGCAGTTGGGGTAACTAGGAAGAGAAATAATTTCCTACTTGCAAGAAGCAAACTGAACAGAAAACACAGGAAAGACCAAGGCTGATTTTTATAGATTTATCTCTTTGGTTCTGACTGTTTCTTCTTTTCACTCTAGGAAAATGCTTTCTCTTCTTTGGCTGGTACAGGTCATCCCCTCTTTTATTAGCCATGTCCCCAAATTAGATTTTAAGACTGGCTGGGCTTTCGAAGACGGGGTCTTGCGTATTGCTCCAGACCCATGATGACTGCCAAAGGCTAGGAGTTCCATCTAACAGTGTCAGAGACAGAAACTATGGAGATTAAACTCATTCTTTTAGCAGAGAAAAGGGAACATGGTTTTAGGTTCATTTAACACCTTCATTTTACAAGTTTGTCTTCATTTTACAAGTTTGTCAGAAGGACTAAGCATTTTAAGGCCAATCTGGCCAATTCTCCCTCATGAAAAACAGAACGCTGCAGAAATACATAAAAAGTTTTGCATGAAAAATGCTACAATTATTAAGAGTGCATACAAAGATGGACCAAGCTTTCTTTCTGCTGAAGACTACTGTAGCTATTTCAAGTCCCAAGCACTAAGCTCATGTTTTATTGCTGAGAAAACTGAGGATCCTAAGATTAATGTTTCTTAGGTCATGGAGCTGAGGAAGGGGCAAAGACTGGGACATTTCTTGTATGATGTTTTCCCACACTACATGATTATAAGGATTGCCTGGTATAGTAACTAAGAAGCACGGACTTTGTCTTGGCCCCTCACCCCACGTGGACCTACTGAGGCAGGGCCTTGGGGTAGGAGCCAGGGGATGTGGTTTTAACAGGGCTAATGTTAGTAATGGGAAAGTCTGGATAATTCTGGTGTCATGATGACCTCCACTAAGCTGAAGACTCACTTGGATCTGTTCAGCAGCTCTCCACAGGAAGGATCTAGAAGCAGGTGTTTTTAATATTAGAGTCCAAGGGCCAGCAAAATAGCTCAACAGACTAAGCAACTGCTTAGGCAAGCGCAGGGACTGGGGTTCATCCCTGGCACCATATGCCATGCCGACCCTGCCCTTGGGCTCAGTGAACCAGCAACCAGGACCAGATGTTCCAAGCCTATAATCCCAGCGTTGGGGAGGCTGAAAACAGGAGGACTGCTACAAGTCCGAGCTGCATGGTGAGATCCTGTGCCAAATATGTAAAAAAGAAATAGTAATAATAGAGTCCAAGTGTCCAAGTGAAAGACACCTGGACACTGCTCTGAGGAGACACTACTCTGTCATTAACTGATTATGCCTGAAGCAGTGGCTTTATAGGCTTCCTCGAGAGCTTTATATACAGTGATTATCCAAACAAGTTAACCTAATTTAGACAGAGTGTATGCAGTTACTTAAGAGTAAAATCAGCTATGCTGGTCTCCAAAAGTGGGTATGATCAGAAGAAAATTATACAAAGCAGTAGTTACAATGAGGAGTGCAACTCATTCTTCTACTGAACTGAGCATTTACCAAACAGTTATTCTTTTCTCGCTTTATTAACCTATGGTAATCCTCATGCCTTCCAAACTCAGCACCACTAAACACGTGTGAAGATTTCTTTACCATCAACTACAGCACTGAGGTGGTGGGCAACCTATAGCTCATTTCATCCCAATCAAAGCATTTCCTTACTTTTATTGTGCTGACACCATCTTAACATTCCTCCCATGTTATTATTAAAGACTCTCTTGACATTTAAAGCAGACACACACTAATACTCAGTCATAGTCTAGGAATTCTAATGCTTTCAGAGTTGGGCAGGATTTTGTATTATGAAAAATAAGTGTCTTGGTTTTCAAAAGAGGACATGGAAGTGAGACACGTAGACATGTTCTCTCTTCTTTTCCCTGGCTCCAGTCACAACACACTAGCAACACTAGGCCACAATGATGCTAGGACCTTGCTGTCCCCAACATGCTCTGAACTAACTCTGAGCTCTGCTCTGTGGCAAGAGGGTCTGTGAGGTCACTGGTGTGAAAAAGTGTCCTGAGCACTGCCTTGAATGGGGTTAGAAAGGTTCAAAGGAGGATATA